TACTCAGGATGGAATGGGGGCCTCATACTTGCTGGGGAAGTAAGTGCTCTACTACTGAGTTACATGCCTAGAAAATAGAGCATGTGAGGTTTTGATTACCGGTAGTAAGGATACACAATGAGTATAGACTACACAATTAGAGTAAATTGTATAACCTGCCTGCACCGTCTTACTTCTGGAAGACAGTAGATCAAGTTCCATTTGACTTAACATTAGAGAGAGGTTATAGCTTTGGATCACTTGGACTGTTGGCTTCAGTGTAAATATCTAATAGTCAAATAGTACTTTGCAAGTTTAAAATGGTTTCTACATACTTTCCTCTGACTGTCATCAGAGGAAGTGCTGTGTCCTTTTTATGAACGAGGGAATGAAGGCTGGCAGTGGACACCACACACATGAAAACATATGCAGTATCTGTGTTGTGTTAATCTCCTTCTGCTCTAGTTTAAAATGTACTGTGTTCTAGGTCCTATGCAGAAAGAAGTTCATACCTGACAGTATCACTTTCTCAACTACTTTCTGAGCCACAAGCATCACAGCTACACACTCCTGTCAGCAATGTTTTCTATGAATATTAAATCACTGACAGGCAAAACCAATCAGTCCCTGAGCCTATGTGGCAATGAGACCGAGACTGTCTACCAGTGATTGGGCATGGAAAGGAAATAAGCATGATTGTGTTGTATTTCATGATGACACTTTTCCTCATAATAAAAGCAATAACTATTAACTACAGTTCTGTAAACTATAAAATATATAATGAAAATAATTGCACCACCTAGAGACAGCTATTAATAACACATAGGTGTATATCATGCACTAGTCTATTTTCAGTCATATTCATACATTTAGACAAAATTAATCATTTAAGCATAATACTTAATAATTGTCTTTATACTATTTGTTGAAGAGTTTTTTACATTAAAAATTTCTCAGCATACATCGGGTTGTGTTGGTATATGCCTTTGCTTCTAGCATTTGGAAGGCAGAAGCAGGTGGATCTCTATGAGCTCCAGGTCACCTGCTCTATCATATCAAGTTCCAGGACAGCCAGGACTACATAGAGTGACCCTCTCTTTAAAAAAAAAAAAAGTCTCCCAGTACTATACACATACATAATATATGCATGTGTGTACCACAAGCACATGGTTATCTTACTTTTTTCCCTGTTGCTGTGATAAAATATTCTGACAAAGCAATTTAAGGGAAAAGTGTCCATTTTAGATCACTGTTCAAGGTAGTCCATCAAAGACAGGATGTCAAGCCAGTAAGAGCTTGAAGCAGCTGGTAACATGGAATCCCTAATTAAGAACTAGGAAGGGATGAATTGCTCACTTGGTTTTCGCCACTTTATACAGTCCAGAATCCCCTGCCCAAGAAATAGTCCCATCCACAGTTAAGATGGGTCTTTCTACATCACAGTCAATAACCCCTCACAGGCATGCTCAGGGGCCCATCCAGATTCTGTCATGTTGACAACACTGACCACCCCAATAGTCAACATTATTCTACTTATATTTTACTTTGGGGTGTTGGGCTTCAAACCAGAGATGTGATGCATGCTACATAAGCACTCTACCACTGAGCTGAATCCATGGCCTTCTGCATTATTTTTAATGTTTTCATATTAGGTTGTACCAAAATACTTTTAATCAAGCCACGCCATTAGATGTTCCCACTGTTTCAGGTTTTTTCCTATATTACCAAGAAATGATACCATTTTGTTTCTTTTCTTTTTTGGGGGTGGTGGTGTTTCAAGACAGGGTTTCTCTGTGTAGCTTTGGAGCCTGTCCTGGACTAGCTCTGTAGACCAGGCTGGCCTCGAACTCACAGAGATCCACCTGCCTCTGCCTCCCGAGTGCTGGGATTACAGGCATGCACCACTACTGCCTGGCACTATTTTGTTTCTTTAGAATAATTCCAATACTGGAATTTCATGATGAAAGAGAAACATGCTTAAGAAAGTTATTATCATTGTTAACTTGACTGGAACACCTAGGAGATGGCGAGGCACACCTTTGGCTATGCTTGTGAAGGCTGACTCCAGAGAGGGAAAGATCTGTTTGCATGTGGGTGGCACCATTCTATGGGCTAGAGACCTGGACAGAGTGAAAGGCTGAAGGGAGAAAGCTAAGAGAGCACCTACATTTCCCTCCCTGCTTCCTGGCACTCTATGAAGCTAACTGAACTGCCTCTCCATGCCTCACCCACCATGACGGGCTGAACCCTCTGAAAGCATGCCAAAACTAAATTTTTCTCCCTTGAATTATTTCTGTTGAGTAGTTTTGGTCACAGCAATGTGAAAAGTAACTAGAGAAGGAGGGTCACTGGTGTAACTAAATGACAATGTGGTTCTTTGGCCTTTGGAATTGGTTCCCAGGAGGGATTTGGAAAATGACACCATAATCATTAAAATAGCTTGGTACTGGCATTGAAACAGACACTTTGGCAGTAGAGTCAAATATATGTGGAAATTTAATATGCAATATTACAAACTGGAGGGGGAAAAGAAGCTTTTTAATACGTGGTATTGGCATTTCTGTTTGAAAAGAAAATAAAACCGGCTTGTTCATTAACTCCAAAAACCAAAACAAATTTCAAAAAAGATCTGAGATTTCAATGGAAAAGAATTCTACTGTTGTACTCAAAGAGGAAAACATGATTTTAAACAAATTGTGTGGAGGAAAACTTTTAGAAATACAACTTAAAATCCAGAATCAATAGAAAAAATAATTTAAACTGGGCTGAAACTTTATAAATAACTCTCTGTGGGGAAACAAACCTTAAAAGAAAAATATCAAGAATTACCCCTCTTTGACTCCTCAAATAGCATCATTTACGACCTTTGTTGCCCATACCCACCTATAATTTCTTAAAATACACCTATGGTAACATATCAGGTAAAACAAAGCAGTATTTTTAAACCTCTAATTTATTATGAGGGTTAATTTTGGTTGTGAGCCTAGCCTTTAACGGCTGAGCCATCTCTCTAGCCCAAGGGTAAATTGTATGGTCACATGTCTGAGTTAAGAGATCCCTAGATAACTGGTCCAATGTTTAGTTGTGTGCTTCTGAGAGACGAGCATTTGAGCTGGAGAACTAAGTGGAGTAGGTACTGTCTAATGTGAGTGGGCACCGTTCAACTCATCAAAGGCTTGGACAGCACATGGAGCTGAGGGAGTGGGAAATCACTCTCTTCGAGACTGAGCTAAGACACTGACCTCTTCCAGCCCTCCGTGTTCCTGGGCCTCAGATGTTCAGATGGGGTTCCTCAAACCCTCAGAGAGGTTCTTTGCTTTCAGACCTTCAAGCCAACTTATGCACTTTTCTGGGTGTCCAGTCTGTAGACAACAGATTGTAGAACTTCTCGGCCTCCTTATTTGCGTGGGCCACTACATCTGTCTGTCCATCCTGCCTCTCTATCTGCTCACTCTATTTCTCCGTGTGAACACTACTGCTCACCTTCCTAGGCTTCACTCATTCCATCATACTCAGAACTAACTGGTTTACATTTGTTGCTACAGGCTTTTATTTTATCTTACAGCTCCACCATTTATATATGCTGGAAAATATATCTTTATGTTCATGCATTCACTGCCTATTACTGTAACAACATTTCATCTTTCAGGTTGGACCCAAAACAACGACACCTATTTGTATTTTGTGATGTACTACTTCAGTTTTTTCCCCAATTATCTTGTCTATCAGTCAGCTAATGTCATTTGTGATGAGCATTCATGTGCTACTTTTGTTTATTTCCCTAGAGTCTTCTAATGACTTTTTTAGTCACAAGGAAGGCACACAGTAACTGTATGTAATGAGAAAAGGCGTGATGTATTATTGGAGAGAGATGACAGATGGAGACAGATTTTGTCACAGACATTTTGAGAGCAGGAAATTGATGAGGAAAGATAAAAAAGATGATGCCTGACCTATTTCCAGGATCAATGACTTAAGATCTGTGCTAGTTAATTAGGAGAATCATTTCTAACCCTTACATTAATTTTCTAAGGTATGTATAACCATCTCTATTTTATAGATAAGACAACTGAGGTTATGGCCATGGAAAATTCTGCAGTGAGTGTCCCAAAGAACATATTAACATGCAGTACCTTGGGGGCAGAAAGCTACACGTGGTACTTGCTGTAAGTGGAAATTACTACATTGAAAAACTAGTAAGAGTCAAGGTGGTCTAAATCTGGTCCTGCTTCTGCTTCCTCAAGAAATGGGCAGCAGAAGCCCTTGCTGCATGGTAGAAAGGGCAGAGTTTCCTTGAGGAAGCAAGGTCTCTGATTTGCCTTACAGGTTGGGTGAGTCCCACAGTCCATGCCTGTTTATCTCTTAAAGGGAGGTACTATTAGTACTTTGCTTTGCTGTATTTGTTTTTTATGGATGTTGAAAGAAAGTACCACAAACTTGATTTCAAATAGAAACTTGAGCCTGAGGTGAGGTGACTCATACTGCCGTCTCAAGACAGGATAGAAGCAGGAGACTGAAAATTTCAGGCCGGCCAGGGCTACAGGATGAGTTCCAGGATGGCTTGAGCTACAGAGTTGAGACTCTGTCTCAAAATGAAAACAGTAATAAATAAAACAAGACAGAAATCTGTTGTATTTCAATTCTGGAGCAGGCCAGAAACCCAAAAGCAGTTTCAAAGTGTTTAGGGGGCTGTTCCATTTGCTAGGAAATAATCCTTTTCTTGTCGCTTCCAGTTTCTGACAGTCACTAAATTTTTATTTTATTTTAAAATTTAATTTTTTAGTTTTTTCGAGACAGGGTTTCTCTGTGTAGCTTTGTGCCTTTCCTGGAACTCGCTTTGTAGCCCAGGCTGGCCTCGAACTCACAGAGATCCGCCTGGCTATGCCTCCCGAGTGCTGGGATTACTGTTATAGTGACCTTACTCCAACTACTGCCTTCCACTTATCAGGGCTACACGTATTTGCATTTACGGCCTATCTTAATAACCCTGGCTAAGCTCCATCTCAAAACCCTTAACTTACTCTCCACACAGGCGTTGTACCACATAAAGTAGCATTTGCAGGCTCCAGGGATGAAGTCCTGACATCTCTGCGTGCCGCTGTTTAATCTACTCTGACTCAGGCTTGATCTAGGGAGGAAATCTGCTCGTGCTGGCCTTAGGCTGAGTACAGAATTTGACAGTGGGCAGTTCTGGGGTCTCTGACAGCGTCTACCTTTAAGGTTTCTGCTGCGTTCAAGCAAAGCTCGGGTATAACATCTGTAGAGTTTCAAGGTTAGAGAACGAAGCCCACACTGGCCTGTTCACAGATCTTGCCATCCGTATTTGCACATTCTTCTTTCCAGAAAGCCTTGCACCGGGTTAACTCGCTTTTCAACACCTCAGGGAAGGATTCTCTACCTGGGAGCCCTGGCCACCTCTGTACCCGCCCCTCCAGCACTCCGCCCACCCCATCCGGGCCGATCCGTACTGTTGCCTGTCGGAATAGAGGTAATTTCACCCAATTATGCCTATTTTCCAAGCCTTTCAGTTAGCAACATAACACATCTATATTCAATGACCCAGAGAGTGGCATTTTTTCTTCTATCCAGCTGAAAAAACGGGCGTGCAAATTGTTGGGTTCACACAGGCATCTCGTGAGGCAGCCCAAAAGAGGAGCGGCGGGTCCTTCGCCCTACGGCCGCTGAGGCCCCGCACGTGGCGCAGGCGCAGTGCCCGCGATTCGCCATGCCGACTGTCAGCGTGAAGCGAGACCTGCTCTTCCAAGCCCTGGGCCGGAGCTACAGTGAGTGCCCGCCCCGTGGCCGGGGCTCGGCGCCTGGGGGAGCCTGACTCGCCCGGCGGAAGGGCGTTCTGGCGGCGCTGATGCCGCCACGCGGGGTTGGGTCTTGCCGGGCGGGAGTCCGCAGGGGTGCGGTTGACGGGCGAGGAAGCTGGGCTGGGGCTGGAGTAGCTTCTCGGAACCCGCTCTCCCGCGGCTGCCGTTGCATCATCATCCGCCCGTGTCGGGAGCTCCGTGTGATCCATTCAGAGAGAGCTCCTACTGCGTGCCTTAGCACCGACTGTGGTGTCGGGACACCGAGTAGGAAGGATGCCCTCCCTGGGTTGCACCCCCGGTGTGGGCCAGCTCGCTGGAACCACAGATGGACAGCGAAGGGGGGGACGTTTGAGAAAGTCGTGGGCCGGGCTGCCTTCCTTCGAACCCGCCTCCTCGAACTCAGCTTCTCGAGTGCTGGGATAACAAGCGTGTGCCACCAAGCCCGGCATCCGCTTTGTGTAGTGTTGACCGGGCTCCCGTTGCGTGCCAGGCACTGGTAGAGAGTACAGCTGTGCACATGCCACGCGAGATCTCATTTTGACAAACCAGTACGCCAGTAAGACGGTTTATTGGAAATGCTGAGTGTTTTCTAGGAAAGGAAACCATGGGGTGTGTGGGAGCAGCATTTGACAGGTCACGTTCATTTGAGAACCGAACAGAGCCTCTTCTGTGGACTTAGTATTCACAATACACTTCATTTCTTTCTCAGTTCTAAACTCAACCATTGGAGGAAAAGGGAGGTAAATGTTAAGCAAATTATCATTTCCTACACAGATGTAGTAGTTGAAATGATATCTGCCCCATCCTGTAATTATCAGCTTTAAAGGTCATAACAAGTGACTTATGAGAGCCCTTTTTTGGGGTATTAAATGTATTTAATGATGTATTTAGCAAGGGGTACAGCTGCTCTTAAGAACATAGTACTGACACCGTGCAACTAAACTTTTGAAAAAGTTTTCTAAAGATGTACTCTCAGATATAACCCATTCCCTGTTAATCTTCATCTGCTTGTTTGTAGGTTTTTGTTGTTCTTTTGAGACAGAACCTTCTTCTGTAGTCCAGGCTGGCCTTAAACTTGTGGCCATCCTCTTGACTCATTCTCCCAACAGGGATATTGTTATAGTTGTGAGCAGGAACTGTCCCACATCCTTAGCAGTAGAGGAAATAGCTTGCCTCTGGAACGTGGCCCTAGTTTCTTAACCACTTTCCATGCTTTTTTATATTTCTCACTTACCCTACACCATATTTTCTCTAGTGGTATTTGCTGTATCTCAACTACACAAGATGGTGTGTGGTGAGTTTCACACATTTATAATCAGTTCCCAGCCAGGTCCTTATCTCTGGAAAAGTAAGAAATTATCTGAATTTTTAAAAGGTAATGGGACTTATAACCTGTTTGCCATTGTCAGATAATATTTAAATGAATTCTCTGTCTGCTTTTTCCCCACTTTCAAATGGTGAATGATCAAATCAGCTTGGTTTTTCCACACAGATTGTTAACTATAGGATCTTTGGAAACTCTTTCCCCTTCATGTTATTGAGATGTACATCAGATGGGTTAGTGGGACTCTTCACTGTGTTCTTTTCTCTTTAAGTGCCAGTCGAATGGCGGCTGGAGTTGGAAAAGCCCATTCACCAAACCATCTAGTTTGCAAATGAAGTGTGGGTCCCCCCTGTGTCTACCTCCTTTTCCTCTTTCTTCTTGTTTTCAGATGTCTCATTGGTGCTCTTACATTTCCCTTCCTCATTTAGACCCCGCCAATGTCGCTCTCCATCTGAAATCCCATTGTTATTTCCAGCCGTCACTGTCACCTTCCATGTCTTTTTTCGTAGAGCACATTTCTCTCTCGTTTTTTTGTTACTTAGCATTTGTCTCCTCTGCCTTCCTGGGAGCAGCGCTGTCTTTTTTTGTCGGTCTTGATCTTTTGATTGCCTTTCTGTTCAGTTGTTTTCTTTTGCTACTCATTTTCTTGGCAAGTGGTTTCTTGTCATTGCTTCCCAGTTTGGGCCCTCTTCTAGTTTGGTATGTAGTAAGTACTGCCAGAGCCATCTGTGTGCCACACAAGCAGATAGTTTTTTAGGTCTACCATTTTTATTGGAGGAAATTATTCATGACTTTGTTTTTTGTTCTTTTGTCTAAATTAAAAATATATATAGCTTAAAGGGATAAGACATAATTAAGATTCAGTATATTTTAATAGATCTATATGTGCAACTGAACTTTTGAAAAAGTTTTCTAAAGATGTACTCTCAGATATAACCCATTCCCTGTTAATCTTGATCTGCTTGTTTGTAGGTTTTTGTTGTTCTTTTGAGACAGAACCTTCTTCTGTAGTCCAGGCTGGCCTTAAACTTGTGGCCATCCTGTTGACTCAGTCTCCCAAGTGATACAGTTACAGTTGTGAGCAGGAACTGTCCCACATCCTTAGAAATAGAGGAAATAGCTTTGCCTCATTCATTGCCATTTAGCTGACAAAAGTTTTGCATGTTATAACAATAATTGTTATTTAGTTTCTGATGGTCAAGAATCAAGATCCTGGTCTGAATCTTACTCCAGGTTGCAGATCTGTGGTCAAGAGTTCATTGGGGCTGGAGAAACTGCTTCTAAGTTGTTGTCGTGTGTTTGTTTTCTTTTCTTTCTTTCTTTTTTTTTTTTTTTGGTTTCTCGAGACAGGGTTTCTCTGTAGATCTGGCTGCCCTGGAACTCCCTCTGTAGACCAGGCTGGCCCTCTAACTCTAAGAGATCTTCTGCCTATCTCTGCCTCCTGAGTGGGATTAAAGGCATGTGCCACCACTACCCAGCTAAGTTGTTTTTAAAATTATTATTATTATCGTTTAGACTTACACATTTTATTTTATGTATATAAGTGTTTTGCTGGGCACCATGAACATGTCTGGTGCCTGTGGATGCAGGAAGAAGGCAGATCCCTTGGAACTTGAGTTACTTTTGGTTGTAAGCCACCATGTGAGTTCTGAAAATCAAACCTGGGTCCTCTGTAAGACCAACAGATGCTCTAAACTGCTGAGCTATCTCTCTGCCCCCTAAGTTTTCTTAAGCAGGCCCTGTTTATCTCTTGACTTTTGGCCAGAGGCTTCAGTTCCTTCTACCTTGGCTTTTGTCAATTTGTCCCAGAAGGGGAACTCTGAGAGAGCAGGTGGATGGGAGAGCTCAACTAGTATCCTCAATGAGTGATAATTGCTCAGAAGTGCTGTTTTTTCCCCATATGTTCTTGCTCACACAGACCAATCCTGACCTGGTGTGAAAGGGAACTAGATAAGCAGTTAGGTATCACTGGTATCATTATCTCTCCCCTGACCACCATGTGGTTCATGTTCATCCACATGCAAAGCGTGCTTGGCCCAGAAGTGTCATCTTACAGCAGCAGCTCAAAGTTCACAATCACATCATTTCAGATGGATAAGGGACTGGGGATGTAGTTCTCTGACTTTAGCATCTTGTGATGAGTTAACTAGAGATCTGAGAAGCTCAAGCACTATGGTAGGTTGTCCTTCATCCATCTAAGATGCCATAGAGGGACAGGCCTGGGGTAACTACTAAAGGGAAGAAATTGGAACTCAAAAAGGAGCCACTGGTCCATGGCAGTTCTGAAATCGGATGGCAAATGCTGGATGGTCTTGATTAGGTCTCAGGCCTGGGATAATTCTCCATGGCGCTGTTCCTTGCCCTCTAGGCTCTGCTTCCACTCTCTGAGTATCCCCAGAAAGCATGTGCTTCACAGCTGATTAGTTTTCTCAGTCTACTTCCTGTTAATAGAATTTTAGGGGCTCAAAGACTTCCTTTTGTCTTGTTTCCGCCCCTTTCAGTTCAAGCAGGCTATGTCTGCCTAAGTGTTTTTTCTGAAAACTTTCTGGGTCTTTGGTGAATTTTTACTGGATTCCTTTTCATTAGTTAAAAACCACAGACTCCAAAAACCTCTGAAATTAGCTGTTTCAGAACTTTGGGCTTTTTCATACCGTGCTCTTAATTAAGCTTTATTGTTTTATTAATCGGATTTGTGAGGTGCATCCTTAATTTCTTTATTGCACCTTTTGTTTGAATGAATTGTGCCTTTGATCTGACTGAAGGTTTTCAGTCATACCCTTGATTCTATCTTAAGCCTAGGATTTGGTCTCTGCCCAGAACTTATTTAATTTTAGGATTGCTTTACATTTGGAAGGCCCAACTTTTTACTGATCAACATCCTGGCTCTTTGTGTTTAATAGCTCTTCCTATGTTAATCTCTTCTTACATAAGTGGTAAAAATCAAACTAGTCAACAAACAGGCTGCTCTTGGAGCACTGATCCCAAGTCTCAGTTACATCAGGTAAGTGCGTTTTCTTAGTCCATGTACCTGCAGGAATGGTACCGGTCACATTTCTCCCTTATGTAACAAGAGTCCCTTCTGTTTTCCTGCAGTACTACCTCACTGTCCTCCCTGCCTTTCCCTGCATCCTGACTCGTGCCCACGAGTCTTCAGCTAATCGTGTTTCTGAGGCCCTTGGCTTTTCTCATGCAGTCCTCAAAGCCTGTCATCTGATTCCAGAGTCATTCTCACAGTTTTGTTAGAGGACTACTCCCTTTCAGAGACTAAGATTTGTATCAGTTACCTGGTGCTACATAACAAATTATCCCAGTTCTTAGGAGTAGGAAAAATATGCCTTTGTTGCTTCCCACAATATCTGAGTGACAGGAATCAGGGGGTTAGCTGGGTGATTCTGGCTCTAGGGCTCTTGCTAGGTTGCAAGCAAGCTGTCATCTAGAACTGCAGTCACCTCAAGGGTTGGCTGAGCCTGAGCATCTGCTTCCTAGCTAACTCATGTGATTGCATCATATGTAAGTTCACACAGAGGCAGGATCGTTGCAGGCCATGTTGGAGGCTAGCTACCTCAGTTACTACATACACAAGTTAATGGTGGCATTACCCTTTTCACCTAAGCCAGAGAGCTGGGAGCCATCCTAGTCTTGCTCACTCACTCACTGTTCCTCCAGTAATTAGCCAACCATTGAGCCTTACACATTCAGCTTCTAACATTTCTTATGTACCTTCTTCTCTATACACTGTTGGCTTAAGTGAATACCTCTGCACTTCACTTGTAGGAGGCTCCCTCAGTCATCCTCCACCCTGCCACCAGTCTTAGTGCAGATGTAGGGAACCAAGCTTGGTGCCTCACGACTGATAGAAAAACATGCGAGCCTGAGGCAGGAGGATCTGGAGTCAGAGGCCAGCCCTGGTATATATAAGTGGCAGGCTGACCTGGTCTACCTGTGAGGCCTTGTTTCGGAAAAACACCAAAAAAAATAAAATGAAGATCTAGAGCCAAGGATGAAAAAGGGAAAAAGCAAAAAAAAAAACAAAAAACAAAACAAAAAAAAACAAAACAACAACAACAACAAAAAACAACCAAATCGAATCCCGTTTTGCCCATCTGAAAAGCTCCTGAGTGCAATTCCCATTGCCTGCAGGTAGGACAGAGGGCAAGTCCCTTGGCATGTCAGGAGCTGCCTTTTCCTCCTTGTATCCTCTTTCTTCCCAACACAGACTTGATTCTTTATCTATATTGAAAGCACTTGATTCACTCCCTCCAAGCTTTGACTGGTGAAGACATCCTTTATGTAGCTTTAAGTGAACCAAAGAGGATCTCTGTGCTACCCCTGCGCCTTGGACTGGGTGTATTTATTTATGTTTATATACACTTAGGATTCCTTTGCAAGAGAAGGAAGTAGTTCAGGCGGGAATTGTAATTTATCTTTGTAGCCCTGGCATCTAGTACTGTTGCTTGGCACGTAATGGCAGTAAATATTTGTTAAATTGAATTGAAGTTTGATGTCTAGATCAGACAAGTCTTTCGTTGTTTTAATTTGATGTTGGGAATTGAACCTAGGGCCTGTGACATACTGAACATTCATTATGCCACCGAGGCCAACTTCTCGTCCTGGATCAGGGAATCAAAGACATCTAGTTCTTCACTAGAATATAGTGGTAATTGATGTATGTTCAATGTTGGATAAATGAAGATCTTGAAAATGCTGTATTGTATTAGAGCAAAGTGAAATAAGGCATGGAAGTATTAGTTGTTTTTTTGTTTTTTGTTTTTTTGTTTTTTTGTTTTTTTTGAGACAGGATTTCTCTGTTTAGCTTTGTACCTTTTCTGGAACTCACTCTGTAGCCCAGGCTGGCCTTGAACTCACAGAGATCTGCCTGCCTCTGCCTCGCAAGTGCTGGGATTAAAGGTGTGCGCCACCACCGCCCAGCGTGAAGTATTAGTTTTTACAGACTCACTGTGTTTCAGGGTACTATACCAGCTCCATTTACATCTTTTTAAGGTTCCATGCTAAAAATGGCGGCAAAAGGTTGCTTTACAGATTAGGGTGTTGGTGACGTTTACGTGAGGTGCTGAGTCCTCCTCATGAGTGAGGTAGAAGTCAAAACCCTGGTTAGTGTGGTTCCAAAAACAAGTATCAGGCTACCTGAGAGATTCTTAAATGAATACTAAGATTTAGTGGCATTCTTTTGTAATTATAGGTCCTGTGATTTTGAGTCTGCTTTCTCCTTTAATCTCTGCTTAATGATCCTTTTTTACCCCGACTCTGAACAGACATCTCAGCACTGGTAACCAAATTCTGTAGTTGATATTACTATAGAGTAATCAGCCCTTTAATTGTTTTATTTGATGTTTGCATCAGGCAAATTTTTTCTTAATGTTTTGATGCTAGAGAGTGGGCTCAGAACCTCTGACTTCCTAAGTCCGACCCTTTACCTTGGAACTTAAGACATCTCTCCAGCTTTTCACTATTATGTGGTGGCTTTGAAGCTGTGTGTTCAGTGTTCGATAACCTGAAAACCCTGGAGATGCTATATTAGGTGAAAAAGCAAAGCACATAAGAGAATTTTGTCAGTTATAGACCCATTTTATTTCAGGCTATTAAGTATGTTTCTTAGCTTTATAAAAAACCCTGGCAGCTGGGCAGTGGTGGTGCATGCCTTTAATCCTAGCACCCAGGGGGCAGAGGCAGGTGGATCTCTGAGTTCAAGGCTAGCCTGGTCTACAGAGTGAGTTACAGACCAGCAAAGGCTACACAGAAAACCCCTCCAAAAATAAAAAACAAACGAACAAACCCAAAACAAAATAAAAAAACAAAAACAAAACCCACAGGCAACCCTTTCTGCTTTTTTTAAAAATATTTATTTATTATGTTGTTTATTTATTATGTTTACAGTGTTCTGCTTGCATGTATTCCTGCAAGCCAGAAGAGGGCACCAGATCTCATTACAGATGGTTGTGAGCCACCATGTGGTTGCTGGGAATTGAACTCAGGACCTCTGGAAGAAGTCAGTGATCTTAACCTCTGAGCCATCTCTCCAGCCCCCCTTTCTGTTTTTATAGTGATAGCTGATGCCTGATAGAATGTTCAGTGTTAGGAAATTAAGCAGTAGGTGAGAGTCATAGATTCATATGCAGTTTTCATGCATACAGAACACATTAAAATTAACATTCTTTTTTTTCTTTCTAGCTGATGAAGAATTTGACGAACTATGTTTTGAATTTGGCCTGGAACTTGATGAAATTGTATGTATAAGATTTTTTAAAAGATATTCTGTATATGAGCTCATTTTAAAAAGTATTTTCTTATTTCTGTTGAATAAGCCCTGAGGTTTTGTTGTTGTTGTTTGACAAATTTGCATTGTAAATTTTATCCCTTAAGAAAAGCTTTATTTAAAATAATTTCTTGTTTTTGAGATGATAGTAGAATTATATCATTTCTGCCTTCCCTTTCCTCCCTCTAAACTGTTCCATGTATCCATCCTTCCTCTCTTAAATACATGGCTTATTTTTTTGTTGTTACATACATATATGTATACACACACATACATTTATTTCCAAATATATAAATACAACCTCACTTTGTATAATGTTGTTTGTATGTATTTGCTTTCAGGATACTGGAAAAACCAATTGGTTTGTATGAGCTTTTTTTTTTTTTTTTTTTTTAAGAGTTTGCTATGTTATTGACTTATATTTTGACTCTGGCAATGTGGGGATTTCGGGAGGATTACTTACCTTTTTGAATTCACAATTTATCTTGCCAGGCCTCATTTTTGAGAAACAGATGATTTGCTTTATATGATCATACACCCCTTCCAGCTCTGAAATGTATTGCAGGCTCTTTGATTTCTGTCAGGTAGTAGTCCAAGCTTAGCCTTCACATATGAACTTCATGAACCGAGTCTGAAAATGACATTGATGCCCCCTGCAAGTATCAGGCTACTTTTTATTCAGATACCTTCAATTCTCTGGTTACCATGTTATTTCTTCATTTAGAACTCTTCTGGTATCTGCCATCCCGGCAGGGTATCTTAGCTTTCTTCACTGAAAAACATTCATCTTATTACTGCTTCAATCAAACATGATTCAGTTTTAATTCTTTTTCTTTGGCCTCTCTCCATTCTCATCTTTCCTTTCCCCTCTTCTTTCTTTCCTCATTTTTATCATTTTCTCTGTTTTTCAATTTTGCCTCTTAAGTTTGAGTACCAGGTTAGATGTGTTTTAGAGCCTGGAACAACCTTAAACAGTCCCAGCACTGTGTGGACCCATGGATTTCTCAAGGATGACAAAGCCCACAGTTCCTAGTAGCCAAAGTGAGGTCCCCCACCCATGTAAATACAGATTGTAATTATCCCCCCCCTGCCCCCGGTTTTTAAGTATGAAGCAGTGGGTTTCATTGTGACATTTTCATACATATGTCACTGTGCATCGCCCTCCTCTGTCCCCCTCTGCACGGCTTGCTGACGATCTTCCTTTCCCCAGGTAACAGGTTGTAATTACTGTGGACAGGCTTGAATAGTCTGTGTATGGCCGCAGGAAGGTGTCATATCAAGCAAAAAGCATGGCGTGTTGCCGAACTCCCTCTGTTACTTTGGCAGGTTGTTGATGGGATTCCCATTAAGTAGGATTTCCACATAAAGGCTAACAGTAACGCTTGAAATTTAACGTTTACCACTGTTCAATCTTTTGGCTAAGGTCACGTGTTGACTCTAACTTTGAGTCGGTATGATTGAAAATTTCTTAAATGTATTTATAGTGCCCTGCTGTTGTAAATATAAATATAAAAACAGGAGTGGAATTTAACTTTTTGGCTGACCATCATCTTCAAACGTCTGTTGTTCTCTGCTGTAACATGCCTAAGGTCTACAAAGCTCTGCTGCTGCATCAAGATCGGGCCGTGGTGAACTCCTTGGCTCCTTCCTTTTGCCCCCTCTGTGGCTTCCCATTGCTTCTGTTGTCGTTCCAGTTTTCACACAGCTCTGCTCTCTGGATGGACTGTCACTCTTGTCCTCATGTTCCTTCTAGGCGTGTGTGCCTGTGGGGCTACTTGCCAGGGTGTTGCGGGAGTGCTGTTTCTGTCATGTGACTCATCTGGACCTTTTGGACGCTTATTTTGTCCTCTGTGTTCTGGACGATGTCTTCCATTTCCTTTGGATGGCAAAACTTTGTGTGTGATGTGGCAGATACCGTATGGCTTTAGAGGTTATTGTCTCTGCCATAACTGAGTTGTCTCAGTGTATGATAGTAGGTAATAATATATGTAATTGTGTTTATTTGTGTTCCAGTAAAACATTGTTTGCAAAAACAGGTGAGGTACATGATTTGGCGGGTAGGCCACTGTTGGCTGATGTTGCTTTAGATGGATTATAGTGTTCTGGGGTGAAAAAACAGTATTTTTCTGTCTGCTGTGATTATGACATGTGCAGCATTTTTTGTTTTGTTGCAGAAAAGATATTTTGTAGTTTATTAAACTTCTTTGGTTTGTTTTAGACCTCTGAGAAGCAAATCATAAGTAAGGAGCAAGGTAATGTAAAGGCACAGGGGGCCTCAGATGTTGTACTTTACAAGGTTGACGTCCCTGCCAACAGATACGATCTCCTGTGTCTGGAAGGACTGGCTCGGGGACTCCAAGTCTTCAAAGAAAGGTAAGGAACTGTGCATTTCTAAATCGACTCTCCTCTTTTCTCCCCTCGTTATCAGCAATCAGGCTTAAATTTCTAGGAAAAACTTCATATGGGTAACAAAGCTTTAGGTCAGCATAAATGGTGATTGGAAGATAAGAGTCATGTGGACTGTAGCCATTTCAAAATTGGGAAACAGTTTAAAGCTGGGAATACATGATCTTAGGGTTGCCTTGAAAGTCCTTCAGCAGGGTTCTGTGGTTTCCCTCAGTAATTCTGGTGCAGCGGATAGTTCATTAGATTTATTGAAGCATGAGGGGAAAGTAGAGGTGACAGTGGACTTTATTTCCCTTTACCTTAATAATCATAAGGAGCCCTGGGTAGAGACCCTTGTGGGAATTGTGAATATCTTATGGTGGGTCTATGGACTTGGGCAGGCTAACTGTGGCTTCTCTAAGTTTTAGTCTCCTGATGTGTAATGAAGATTTTGGTTTTTTGAGACAGGGTTTCTCTGTGTAGCTTTGCGCCTTTCCTGGAACTCACTTGGTAGCCCAGGCTGGCCTCGAACTCACAGAGATCCGCCTGCCTCTGCCTCCCGAGTGCTGGGATTAAAGGCGTGCGCCACCACCGCCTGGCTGTAATGAAGATTTTTAAGGCTCTTCAAACCCAGCATGCAATATAAAAGGCAATAAAAATATAAGATGAAGAAGATGAAAATAGAGCCATCAGAATTAATTTTTTTTTTTTTTATTTACTTACACATCTCGTCAGTTGCTAAAGAGAATGTGCCTTTGGTTGCTGGGCTACATTCAGAACTTACAAAGTGTTTGGGTGAATGTAGATATTTGAAATGATGATTGGTTAATTGGTTAAGTGTTTTGAGTTTGGGGTTTGTTCAGTTGCTTTCATACTTGACAATAAAATGACTGGATTTTAGGACTATGGGTCAGGATCATTTATTTATTTATTTATTTACTTATTTATTTATTTATAATTCATGGATATAGTTGTTAATGTGTATGTGTGGAAAAAGGTGTCTTTTTTTAATATATCCCTGACTGGCCTGGAACTTAGTATGCACATCAGGCAGGCCTTGTTTCCATGGTAGTCCTCCTGTCCCTGCCTTCTGGATGCTGGGATTATACACACGTGCAGCCATTCCTGTCGAGGGTCTGTATTTTCAATAAACACCTTAGGAATGCTTATGTCTAGAGAAAGTTAGGACACGATTTCAGCCTTTGCAATTACTGGTGTGGCCCATAAGCCAGTAGCATCTCCGTCACAAGAAAGCTTGTTACAAGTGTAGGCTCAGCCGTCAGGACCCATTGAGCCAGGATCCGAGCTCCAACCAACTCCTCAGTGGGCTGTAGAGGTACTGACTTAGAGCAGTACCTGGCTTCAGGTGACACAAGGTGCCCAGAAATGCCTTCAGACTGCACCAGTTACCAAGCTGTCACACTGCCTTCTCTGACTCAGTAACTTTGGACAGAACTGGGGTGCATTATTCTCAGTTTCGATGAGCTTTCTGTATTCTTAGGAACTGAGAATGTTGGGTTGCAATGAAACTTAAACATGGTCTAGTCCAGGCCCCTGAGCAGTGGCTCTGTTAATGGACTTGTGGTCTTTGCTGGGACTCCAGTGAGAGACTCATTACCATGAGTATTCTGTGCATCTTTGGACAATTGTAAATGTGAGGAAGCTTGCAGTTTTTTGTTTCCTTGTTTTTAATATTCAGCAAAGCTGACTTACTATAACCTATATCCCCAGTTCTATTGATTTTATATATGTACTTCTTCATATTTACAAGCATAAGATGTAATTATCAAATAGTCTTATTGTTTTGAGTAACTTTGTTTTAACACTATTTTAGGATAAAAGCTCCAGTATATAAACGAGTAATTCCTCAGGGAGAAATCCAGAAATTGATTATCACAGAAGAGGTAATAAGGAAAGTTCTTATTTTTCCCTGAACCCCCACTTTATGAATGTGTGAATAAGGTGTGAAGGAAAAAGCAGCAAGACCAGCCTTTCTGCCAGTGTCATTTCCTGTGGTCAGGGGTTAAGACTGCTGTGTTTTCAGTTTCTCAACCTTAAAAAATTGTCAGTTTACGGGGCTAGAGAGACGGCTCAACAGTTAAGAGCACTGGCTGCTCTTCCACAGGACCTGGGCTTCATTCCCAGCACCACATGGCAGCTCACAACCATCTGTAATTCCATTTGCAGGGGTCTGATGGTCTCTTTGGCCTCGTGGGCACCAACTATACATGTGAGGAACAGGCATATATGCAGCAGAACACCTGTACATATCAAATAAAATAAAAGATTGTTGGTTTACTACTAAGAAATGAAAGAAAACACTGTCAATTGCTATTATAAAGCACATTTGAGAGCCAGGTGTGGTGGTGCAAGCCTGTAATTGCAGAACTTGGGAGATGGAGGCAGGAAGATGAGTTCAAGGCCAGCATCATCTGTGCAGTGAGTTTGGGGCTAGCCTTGAGTACATGAGAAACCGTTGAAAAGTCCAAACCAAAACAAAGTAAAAGCATGAGGGTTGGGATGTATGTAGCTCAGTGGTAGAGCACTAGCTTGGTCTGAGAGATGCCCTGTTCAGTGTCTGCTACAAAAAGAAAATTTTGATTAAACAGATAAGACATATTTCAGATATAGTTGTTTAAATTGTAGTAAATTAATTTTACCACATTTATAAATATAAATATAATTAATAAAATTTATAAAGGTAAAATGAGGGATTCTTTTGGTAAAAGTAAGGCCTATGAACAAATTATTTTTATTTCTTCTTGATTATATAGTATTCAGAAATTGTACTGAAATGTAAATTTGGCTTGTATAGTATCTTTATCTCCTGCTTGCCACCTAACTCCCCATTGATTGACTACATGTATATATGTCTGTTTGAATCAAAATTTGTGACCCTGTCAGGAGTGCAACCACTTTTCTGTGGTGAAATGTCGACAAAGGAAGGCTGTAGTACTAACTGTCCTGATGGTGTTCTGATTTCCAGACAGCTAAAGTACGCCCTTTTGCGGTAGCTGCAGTTCTCCGGAATATCAAGTTCACTAAAGATCGATATGACAGCTTCATTGAACTTCAAGAGAAGCTACACCAGAACATTTGCAGGTTCGTAGGGCTTCGTCCTGTTTCCTCCTGGTCTTTCCCTTCTCCTACTTCCTTTCCATCCCTTCTGTTTCCCATCTCCTTGTCTCATGGATCTACTTGTCTTAGTTACTATTGTAGTACTGAAAAGAGACACCATGTCCAAGACAACTTACAGTAAAAGGAAGCATTTAGTTGGGGGGCTTGCTTACAATTTTAGAGGGTTAGTCTGTGGTCATCATGTCGAGAGCATGATGGCAGGCAGACGGGCAAGCATGGTGCTGAGAGCTTTACATCCTCGTCTACAGATAGCAAGTAGAGAGAGACTGAGCATGGCATGAGCTCTTGAAAGTTCAAAGTTCACCCCCAGAGACACATGTGCTCCAGCACAGCCACACCTCCTAATCTTCTCCAAATAATTCCACTACCTGGGGACCAAGCACTCAAACATGTGAGCGTACAGGGCCATTCTCATTCCAACCACCACACTGCCTTCTTCTGCAGATCATATTTCAAAACAGTTCTAAAGGAGGTCACGGGAGATTTCACTTTGTGTACCAGATAGATGTTTGTTACTGTTTGAAACTGGTATGTGTGGGGTTGGAGAGATGGTGCAGTGGTAGGAGGACCTGCTGCTCTTGCTTTTGGTTCCCAGCACCCACATGCTGCAGCTTATACCCATGAGGCTGTAACTCCAGCGCCAGATCATCTGACAGCTCAGGGCTGCTTGGAGCCTACACATGTTTGTGTATATGCAGAGACATGCATAAAACATAAATAAAAAGAGAAATAGTAAGAGTGGTATATGTGTGGTATGTAGAGGATTTTTATTCCTAGAGGTTTTCTTGTTTATTTTCTTTCAAATCATTTTAAAAATTATGTTTGTAAGTATGATTTGTTTGTTTATGCATGCTGGAAGTCAAACCAAGGTCCATGTGCATGCAAATATTCTACTATTGAGCTATATTCCCCCAACCTTGTTCAGATCCTTATTGATAGATTCCATTACCAAATGGAAACCATGGTAATTGGAAGGATAGTCTGGCATTTAGAACATGAAAAAGTTTCTTTGCTTGGTCCACTTTTGAATAAGTATGATTAAATTTTGACACATAGAACTTGAGCAAGGGTAAACATAGACCTAGCATGTAGTGTGGGCCTAGGCTTGATCACAACACTAGAAAAAAAATTAAATGAAGCAACCTGAACTTAAGTGACAAGAGTTTGCTTTATTTTGTCTGTTTTGGTTGTGCTGCATGCCAGTCCCAGGGCCTCACTCGTGTTAGGCGAACATCCTGGCCTGAGCCTTGCTGAGCTGCTCCGGCACATCGCTTCCTGTGCCGCTTTCTCTAGTGCAGTGATCTTTAAACCTTTTAGTCCCCAGCCCTAGCAGTCAGGGAAGGTAAGAATGGGAGCTCTGGAAGTCATTTCAGTACTTCAGTCCGGTCTAAGGATTGAGTTTGGGGCCAGCTACATAGGGAGCCTTTGTCTTAGAAAAGGGGGAAGTGTAATGGATTTCATAGCCGGGTATGGTGGGACACATTTGTAATCCTAGCGTTTAGGAGACAGGCAGGAAGTTCGTTGTCTACTCAAGGCTAGGCTAATTCCAAGCCAGCCGGGACTGCGTGGGTAGACCCTGTTTAAACAAACAACCAAAAAGAAAATTACGTATTTATTAATGGTGAGAAACTGTAGTTTTAGCTAATTTGTGTTGATCTTGAAACAAATTATTTTGATCCAAAGATAATACTGACAGTTACATTACATATTCTTAAATAAATAACTGAAAAAGATAGAAAAGCAAATTTTTATTTCTTAATAATTGAATCTCGTCAAGCTGCACTGACATGAAGGGATGTATATGTGGTATATATGGGAAGAGAACTCTAGATATTTTCTTCAGTGGTGAAAAATGCTTAAAACTATAAATCAAACTTGGCAGCTAGTACTTAGGTATTTTCTTCTTTGTAAAATGTCTTTGCTCAGTTAATAGAAACATGTTCCTAGGATCCCAAATAATGTTCTTACTCTTTTATATTAAAAATCTATGTATGAGCTTGCTGATATCTGTCATTACTAAGCAAAATCATAGGAAATAAACTGAATTTATTTTGAAGAAAAAGTTTGTTGTACATTGTAAGAATGCAGCAGGCAAGGACAATAAAATGGGAACAGCCTGCCTGCAGCAAAGTAGAAGATGTTTTTTAAAGAAAAGGTACAAGATTTGACAAGAGTGAAAGCTAGGAAGTGATTGGCAGATTCTGTGTTTTGGACATATTTACTATAAAATTCTCCCCTCCTTCCCTTCCTCCTTTTTGTGGAGTTGTAGCTCAGGCTGGCCTGGAACTTGCCTTGATCTTTCTACTGCAGCCTCCTGAGCACTGGAGTTGGAGGTGTGAACCCCTGTACTTGGCTGAAAATCTCTTCAGCGTCAGGAGGCATTGCTTTATTTTATTCCACTTCAACCTCTGTCTTACTTACTGTTTCTGGAAATGGTGAACTTTAACTACCTGGGAGAAGAGAGCAGCACCTCCTAATCCTCAGGCATGACAGAGTCAGTTCCTGCCAGTCAGTAACTCCTAAGTAATGTCTGCAGAGAGTTTTGGAACTTGACATTCTGGTTATCACAGATTGCCACGAAGTTGTTTCTAATGCCCCCTTAGTCTTTGATGCCTGTACTGTCTGTTGCAATGCTTCCTCTGCAATTCCCACTTTGGTCTGTGTAGAAGCTTATTAGTTTTATTAGTCTTTCACAGACTAAAGGTTTCCTTGCCCCCCACCCTTGATTTTCATAGATCAAACATTGTCCTTGTCCTTTTCCTTTTTTTTTAAAGTCTGATTGGTTTCTACTTTGTTATCCATGGGTTTGACAATTGTTCATTTATCTAAACTCACTGACCCATGTATTTCATCATATGGTAGTTCTGTGTTTATTACTAACTCATTGAATAACAAATGCTTTCTACTTGCTAGTAGTTCTGCCCAGTGCAGCCATAGTTATTCCAGTTTTTAATTACCTATACCTTTTTGTTTGTTTGTTTGTTTTGGTTCAGTACTGGGCTTCAGCCCAGGGCTTTATGCATGCAAGGCAAGAACTCTGCCCATGAGCTACACCCCCAGCTTTATCTAGTGTTATACATTTTATCTGAACGTAATAATTAGAGGAAGCATGTGCTTCCTATTGAACGTTTTGTTCTCACTATTTTAATGACTGAGAATTTGTTATACTGCAATGAAGATGTAGAGCAGCGATGGGCTGTTTTACGGAAGTGTTTAAAATACAATTTTAAACGTATGGTCTGTTATCTTCAGAATATTAAGATCTCCCGCTCTCATTTCCTTCTCCTCCTCCTTTGCCCTTGAACGTTTAGAAAAAGAGCCTTGGTCGCTATTGGCACTCATGACTTGGACACTTTATCAGGCCCATTTACCTTCACTGCGAAACGTCCTTCAGATATCAAATTCAAGCCTCTTAGTAAGACCAAGGAGTATACAGCTTGTGAACTAATGAATATATACAAGGTAAAAAAGTCTTCCGTGTGTGTGTGTGTGTGTGTGTGTGTGTGTGTGTGTGTGTGTGTGTGTGTACACGTACGCCATGGCTGGATATAGAGGTCAGAGAGAGGCCTATTAGAAGTTGGTTTTCTCCTTCCAGAATGGATTCTGAGGATTGAACTCAGGTTGCCTGGCTTGTAGGAGGAAGGCATCTTTACCTGCTAAGCCGTCTCACTGGCTCAGTATCTTTTTGTTTTTGTTTTTTAACCAAAAATAAAATAGACATTCGTGTGTTCCTTCTCAATTTGCAGTTAACATACATGGCTTACAACAATGGTTTTGAGGGAGTCACTATACTTACCTTACAAATAAAGTATCAAATATTTGATACTGTAGGATGTGGAGCATCTTAGTATTTTTCAGAGTTGATATTTTGATTTATAATTGTCAATGCTTCATGTAAATGTTGAACACAGAATGACAGAGAATTAAGAAATTTAAGAAATGTTTGAGAATCCTGTTCTATTCCTAAGCCAGAATTCATTCTGACACAGTATAATCTAAGGATAAATAATTTAATATGGGCTAAGGAATAACAAGAAAATATTAGGTCTTTGTTAGCTGGCAAGGGGTGCATGTGTGGAATCCCAGCATTTTGGAGGCAGAGGCAGGAAACCTTCAAGTTCATAAAGTCTTTGTTCTCCGTAATTAAACTATTGTGTTTCTACAAGATCCGATTTTCTGTGTTCAGTGTAATCACTGCAGATCATAGCATGCAATAGTAGTGAGTCTGGGTTGAGGTGCATATGGGATGCTATGCCCCTACTTTCTATGTGTTCTGAAGCCAGACTGCATTGAAGGCATGGCAGCTTGGGTAAGCGCTGCCAGAAACACATCACATTCATCACATGTTTGATTTTGAATTAGTTTTTGGTTGGTGTGTCTTTAAAAACCTTTCACTGTTGCCAAATTTTTGTTAACATCTATATTCAGTCATGTGGCCCATATAAAGTTGTAACCCACAGTTTAAGTAGCTGTGGCCTGGATCACAATTTGGTTTTGTTTATTGTTTTTTGTTTTGTTTTTTGAGACAGGGTCTGTGTAGTTTTGGGGCCTGCCCTGGAACTTGTTTTGTAGACCAGGCTGGCCTCGAACTTACAGAGATCTGCCTGCCTCTGCCCCCCAAGTGCTGGGATCAAAGGCATGCACCACCACCACCTGGCTGGTTTTGTTTATTGTTAGCTTTTGTTTTTTTTGTTTGCTCGTTTGTTTGTTTTGAGACAGTGTCTATATATATAACCCTGGCTGTCCTGGAACTCACTATTAGACCAGGCTGGCCTTGAACTCATGAGGATCCTTCTGCCTCTGCCTCCTGAATGCTGAGACTAAAGGCATAAGCCGCTATGTCTGGGTTATTCAAGAACTGAGAGCCAGTAAGTAAACTATATTCTATTTTTAATTTTCACATTTGTGTTGAATTAACACTCTTGTGTGTATAATTAGAAATTTAGCTATTTTGTGTATGTGAGGAATACCATTATAAAATATCTATCCCTGTTAGCATCTTAGAGCTTCAACAGTGAGGATGGATTCAGCCATCATTTAACATTGAAAATGACAAGTAGATCTTGTACAATTTCTCTTAACTTACCAGTGACTTAATTTGTCTTTTGGAATTTTGTGATGGCTGCATTTTGTTTGTGATGACTTAGCAGTGCCAATGCCAATCTATTTTCACTCTGGGAAAGTGACCAGTTCCTCATCTCACAGTAGGAGAGACTGTATGCAAACATTAAGATACCCATTTATACTGGAAAAGTTTGTAAGTTTATAGCTTCCTGTCATTTGGAACATTTTTGATGTTTTTCTGACTTTTTTTTTTAATAACAGATTAATGTCAGCTGGCTAAAGTAGAAATAAATCATTTTGTTTGACTTAATTCTTTTCAGACTGACAACCACCTTAAGCATTATTTACATATCATTGAAAATAAGCCCCTGTACCCAGTTATCTATGACAGCAATGGTGTGGTCCTCTCGATGCCTCCAATTATAAATGGTGAGTAAGTTCAGAAAGAGCATGGATCTTTGCAGTTTCTTCTGTTTAGTGCTTTTGTGGAATTCTCAATAGGCTGACTGAGGCAGTCATTAACTTTAGATCTGAATCTCAGGTCTTTTGAAGATGTTATTATTTAAAAATGAAAAAAAAATGTTATGTGTTTGAATGTTTTGCTTGCATGTATGTCTCTGCACCACATTTGTACCTGGTACCTTTGGAGGCCAGAACAGAGATCCTCTGAAACAGGAGTTACAGATGGTTATGAATCACCACGCGGGTGCTGGGAACAGAACCCAGGTCCTTTGCAAGAGCAACAAGTGCTCTAAGCCACTGAGCCATCTCTCCGGCCCCATAGATTTTATTTTAAAAGTTTTTTGTATATATTTTTCCAAACCTTTAGTTTAACTGCTGATTTTTATGTAAACGATATTATTTAGAATGACATAGGGTGTACATTTAATTTGTAACTGTAAAAATATTTATGCATGTGAAGGATGTTCTGATACTAATCTATGGGTTCTGTCCCATTCTTCAGGGTTTTAGATATTTTTAGTGTCTGGCTATCGTATGTAGCTGGGCTTGTGCATGAGCATCTATGCCATGGCATGCGGAGGTCAGAGGACAGCTTTTAAGAGTCTGTTCTCCTCCCACCACGTGGGTTCCAGGATTGAACTCAGGCTGCCAGGCTTAAGTGGCAAGTGCACTGGTCCTTTGGGTAAAAGAAGAGAAAGAGAGAAATTTTGGTTTACTTTTATTTAGGTGTTTCAGTATTAACAGCAAGTCTCTTTGTTGAACTCAAGCTCTGATTTGTAATTTTATAAACTAAAACTGTTATTTAAATGTTGTACTCTTAATTCCTTTGTGAAGGAGCTCATGAAGCAGTTTAAATGTGTTTAGTGGATTTAGTCATGGCTAAGCTGCAGATGTGTGTCTTTGGGGAGACCAGAAGGAGGGTTAGCTGACTCGGGATGACAAGGAGTTGTTGAGATTGCAGATGCCCACAGTCCCTGGTCAAGGATGTGGACCAAGTTAACTAGATCCAAACTCATCTTAACCTTATGCTTCATAGTTTGTGATCATGATTGGGTAGTTTAATCTTTCTGAACCTTAGTGATTTGTTTGTAGCTGTTTGTTTTCTATTTTGACACAGGGTTTCTCCTCATCACCCTGGATGTCCTAAAACTGGTGTCTAGATCAGGCTTGCCTTAAACTCCCAGAAATCCACCTGCCTTTTCTTCCTGAGTACTGGGATTGTTTGCAATTATGTTATAGGATGGTAAAGATTATCTGTATTTTCCAGTTTGCAATGGGAGCCTAAAAGTCTCATATCCCAGGTCAGGTGGTATGGCTCAGTGGAAGATGACGGCACTTGGCTTCCCACCTGCTGAGCTCTGTTTGATTCCTGGAAGCTCCATGGTGGAAAGAGAACAACTCTTGAGGCTGTCCTCTGACCTCCACACATGTGCCATGGCATCACACTAAATAAATAATTGTATAAAGAAAATAGACATATCCTAGAGCCAGGCATAGTGGCTCTTATCTGTAATCTCAGTACTTGGGAAGTTGAGGCAGGAGGATCACTGTAGCCTGGGCTGTATAGTGAATTCTAGGTTAACCTGGGCTAATGATACCCTGTCTATAAAAATCAAAGGAAAAAAGTTGTATATCCCCTTACTTCTAGGGTATTTAGATTGTTTTCTAAGTTTAAAAGTGATTTTTTTTTAAATTAAGTTTTGTATTATTTCATGTCTCTGAAATTTTTGTTATTGTTTACAGGGAATCATTCAAAAATAACAGTAAATACTAAGAATATATTTATTGAATGCACAGGAACTGACCTCACTAAGGTAAATTAAATCTTTTGTTAACTTATATACCGTTAGACAAGATACATTTTACTTCTAGGCCAAGACTGATTTTAAAGTTTAAAATGTTATAAGAGGTGGGAACATATTGTTGAAATTTAAAAAATTAAAATGATGTGGATAATCTACAGCTTGTTTATGGTACTTGCATTAATTTACAAACGCTTAATGAACAACTAATGTCTTTCCAGTGCTAGGAACTTAATAAGTGTATGCTTCTTGGCTTAGCAATACGGACTTGTGACTGGAGAGTCTGCAATTGTATTACTTCATCAGCTTAATTTAAGTGAATAGTCTGTGCTCTTGTGTACGTGGAAAGTTTTTCTTCAAAAAAAGAAAGTGGTATGCCCAGAATCCCAACCCTTGAGAGGGGCAGGAAGATAGGGAACTGAGGGTCTTCTTTGGCTACATAAGTTCAAAGCTAGCCTGGGCTACTTGAGACATTGTGTCGAAAAACCAACCAACCAACCAACCAACCAACCAGAAGAATTGGGTAAAACGGACTTTTATCCCTAGTGACTTCATAGCTGACATCCCTGACTATCTAGACTGTGTAGCTTACTAGTTGTCTGCTCACTTTCAATTCCTACAAATGTTGGATTCGATTGCTAGGAAAGCTTTGTTCTTTATACATGGTAAGTAAAGCTGAGAGAGTATGTAGTAAGCAAATGAAGAGAGATCCTGTAGCATTAGGAGACTGGCATGTGGAAACAGGACCCTGAGGAGACTCTCCCCTAGATCTGCAGCGTTGGAGACTATTGGAGGCACTTGATTTGTATCTCTTAACTGTGTGTACTATTTGCCTTTGTTGTTGTTGTTTAAAGATTTATTTATCTTATGTGTACAAGTGTTTTGCCTGCATGTGTATATATGCATTGCATACATGCCTGGTGGCTGCAGAGGCCAGAAAATGGTACCAGATTCCCTAGAACTGGACTTGCCTTCAACAGTTGTGAACTGCCATGTGGGTGCTGGGGACTGAGCTGGGTGCTCTGTAAGAGCAGCAAGTGCTCTTAACTACTAAACCATCTCTCCAGCCCCCGTAAGGTTTGTTTAGCCCAAGAACTTAGAGGGCCTTACTGCCTAGGGATGTTCCATGTACTTTGTGTTTGTGTGTTCATTCTTATAGTTAACAAAGGTCGGAATTGTTACTATCTCTACTTAACCAGTGAGAGAACTGAGATGCAGAGAGAATAAAGTAGATCATCTGAAGTCACATTGTTAGTAAGTGGTTGAGCCAGGAATCCAGCAGTCTGGCTTCAGAGACTTACGAAATTGATAACATTTACTTCAGTAACTAGCCATTTGTCTCTCTTGAAACCTCATAATCCAGGGTTGGGGTTGGGGGAACTAAACGATTTGTCTCAGTCATGGATTGTAACTCTCAGAGAGCTGCATAAATAGAGAACACCTGAAGATAAGAACAAGCCTGTTCCTAAGTTTTTATTCTACTTCCTTTCTTAGAATGTGTATATAAGGGTTCATTTTTAGGTGTTTGAACACTAAATTATAATAAATATTCATTACATCTGAATTGAGTGAGAATATACTTATAAATTGCCATAATATTTATGTTTTCTTTTGCAGGCAAAAATCGTGCTTGACGTTATTGTCACCATGTTCAGTGAATACTGTGAAAATCAGTTTACGTAAGTTGACTCAGCACCATCATTGACCAGTCCTCTGAAACCAAGGCTCTAACGCCTCCTGTACTATTTTTAACAATTAGTATACATATATACATGCAGGCAAAACATTCATACATAAAACCCTGATTGGGACATAGGCTTTACTCTTATATGTCTAGCGTAGATATAAGCTTCAAGGAATGAATACAGCTAAGGTCTGTCAGTGCGTAGATTTAGATGTGGTTCCTGTAGCTAGAACATCTGGGGAGATGACAGAGCTCTAAACAGTATGCGTTCTGGTGTTTATAAGGCCAGTCTGGCAAGACCTCATGGAAGCAATGAAATTTAAGTGGTATTTAACGACCAGTAGGCTTGAGAATGGAAAGATGGAGGAATAGCTAAATAGAGGTATAGTAGTATATGACAGAGCTGCATGTCCTTACTATCTATTAGCATCAGCTTATTCTAGACTCTCAGTTATAATTCACAGTAAATGTGTAAGAATAAAAATGACTGAAGTTAGGAAGTTTTCTTTTTTTATCATTTGTATTTCAGGGATTTATGTGTTAGCTCCTGTCTTGCAGCATAGTATCCTGGTCAAGTTTGGGGTATACATCAGTGTTGTTAAAGAGTCCATGTAGGATGCATGTCTTCCACACTGGGAAATAGGCTTTCCAGGTGGCCACTGCCTAAAGGGATGGGGGAAGGGAGCTTTGAGGCCTGGAGTGGTAGAAGAATATAGTATGTAGGAAGGTTGGTCAAAATGACGACGTTAGGATGTGAGTGATCAAACATGTTGCGGCTGGAGTTATAAAACAGTTAGTAATCATAAGCATTTGAAGAATTTATAGCTCATTTATGAAGCATTTTATTTCTGACCTATTTTCTTTTATTTTTAGAGTTGAAGCAGTTGAAGTAGTTTCTCCTAATGGAAAATCAAGTACCTTTCCAGTAAGTTCTTAAAAGTTGATGATAATGGTAGTCCTGGCTATATTACCCATTGTGGTTGTTGAGTGTTTGTTTCTCTGTGTTGACTAATCCATCTGTACATCTACTCAGCCTTGCAACACACACTGCACCGTGTCTCAGGGATTCAGTTCTCAGTGTGGGGGAGTGGTGTGCTGCCTTTCTGTAGAGAGATGGTGAGGCCTGGAATGTTTAATAGAGTGTCTGTTAGTAAGTGTGGCAAGGATTTAAGTGCAGATGCCTGACTGTAGCTGTCCTCATGGTGTATTACATGGTACCATAATACTGTGATCTCCTAGGTAGCTGGGTGATTTCTAGTCTCATCCCTTTTATGATTACTCGGTTAGTATGTTCACATTGGAATCTGTAAATTGCTGAGGACCGTCACTGTAGTGACTCTGAATGTATTCAGACTGGATTAGAAGTAAGCAGTTATTGTTAAACATTGGGTCTTGGTAGAAAACACCTAAGACATTATTTTTTATTTTTGGTTGCTTTTTAGACAGGGTCTTGCTTTGTAGCTGAGGCTGACCTTGAATTCACTATGTAGCTGAAGCTATTCTTGAATTCATAATCCTCCTGTCTCCCTCCCCAAGAACTGGAGTATGACACCATATCCATTGTAAGGTGGTCATTTTGAATAGAATGTTATCACAGTCGTTTAGTTATAATTCTGGCTCGGTGAGACAATTCTCTGATCAGCTTGTGTTCCTTTGAGAGTTTTCTTTTTTCTTTCTTTCTTTTTTTTTAAACTGTTCTGTCATTTATGAAGTGAATCAGAACATGAAATTGCTTTTTTTAAATGAAAAATTTTAATGAGTGTTATGGAGGAGGGTGTCAGATCCCTGGAACTGAGTTACAGATGGTTGTGAGCTGCCATGTGGGTGCTGGGAACAGAACTTGGATCCCAGAGCACCAGTGCTCTTAACCCTGAGCCATCTCTCCAGCCCCTGATTACATTTATTTGTATATGAGTGTGCGTGCCCCACAATTCATAGAAGTTGATTCTCTTTTCACCACGTGGATACCAGGAATAGAACTTAAGTCATTAGACTTGGTGGAAAGTACCTTTCTCTACTTCTCCCAGCCAGTAAAATAGTTTTATAAGTGTGATAATGTCTGCTAAGATAAAAACATTACCCTTCCTCAAAACATTAGTGTTTAGTATGGTATTCTTTTAGAAATTTTTGGTATTATTAGTGTGTATACGCACTCGTGCGCACATGTGCACGATGTCTGTGGAGGCTGGAGGACAATGTCGTGGAGTTATTCTCTTTATTCATCTTTACGTGGATTCTGGGGTTTGCCAGGCTGATGTAGCAAGGACCTTTGTCCACTGAGCCATCTCACTGCCCCAACATCCTATTTCTAGATTATCATGGAGCAAGTGGGTAAGTACTATACAGCTGAAATCACAGTATCAGCTTTTGTTGATTTAGAGATTCTATAGTTGTTTTTTTTTTTTTCCGGTTTTTCCAGACAGGGTTTCTCTGTGTAGCTTTGGTGCCTGTCCTGGATCGCGCTCTGTAGACCAGGCTGGCCTTGAACTCACAGATCCGCCTGGCTCTGCCTCCCGAGTGCTGGGATTAAAGGCGTGTGCCACCGCTGCCCTGCGAGATTCTGTAGTTTCTATTTGGGCTTTTTCTAATGTTGGGCATGGAACCCAGGGTACCACAAATGTAAGGCAAGGACTAAACTACTGAACTAGATGTTCACTTGATTTGCATTGTAATGGTGATTGTTGGTTAACTTTTATTAACAAACAAAACAAGAAAGAAAGAAAAAGGAAAAAAAAAGGGCGCCCAGGCTTTCACTGGGACATGGCCTCATGGGTGCCAGGGCAGAGCTTGGAACAGCAGCAACACAGCAGCGTTGCTAAGATGAGGGACAGAAAAGGGCTTAGGTTTTTTTAAAGATGACATTTCAGGGCTACCCATTATAAGAGAGCAAGTCCAGTGCCGTCCCAACAGGATATCCAGCCCCAGGGCTGGATCTGAGGGGTTTGTGAAATGAAAAAATAGGTGGCGTCTGTGTGGTGGGAAAATCTTCAGTGCTTCATTCCAAGTCCATGCATGTGGACAAAGGAAGAATTTCTGGTTGCTTTTTTTTTTTTTCCTGAGACCAGAACCTTAGCCCATGCTGGCATCAAACTCATGATCCTCTTGCTTCGCCCCTTCGGTGCTGTGACCCAGGTGTGCACAACTTCATAATGGTTTTTTAAATGTCTAATTTGAAGAACATTGTTCAAAAAACAAAAAGTATTCTATGTGTATGGGAGCTCTGCCTGCATGTGTATCTGCACCATGTGCATTCAGTGCTTATAGAGGCCAGAAGAGGACATCAAATCTCTTCTCTTGGAACTGGAGTTACAGTTGGTTGTGAACCATCATGTAGATGCCGGGGATTGAACTTGGGTCCTGTGAAGATCATCTTTCCATCAAAGTTCCCTTTCTTTTTTTTTTTTAATATGAGGAATTATCAGGTTTTAATAAAACAGTATATATTTTTGTAAAGAAGAGGAGAAATATAAAGTTTTGTTTGCTTTTTCCTTGTGTAGATAGCCTCATGAAAGCAAACTTACCCCAGAGCGGGGTGGGGGTGGGGGTTGTTCACAGAGTAAGATGTCCCAAGGGGCAGTACTCCTTCTGTCTGTGATACCGTGGAGGTTGTTGTCTTTCACTAGTCTTGCTGCTACCTAGAAAGGAGTAAGGGTTTGGAGGTCAGTAATTAACAGTGTGAGCTTTGAAGCTAGTCTGCCTCCTCTCTTCATTATTCATGCGTGCACTGTGTGCACTCGTTAACAGTGTGCACATCGAGGATAATGTGGGTAAGTGTTCGTAAGCTGTTTGCAAAGGTGGTGGAGAGCCTCGGGTTCATGCATGTGTGCTTTCACTGAAGATAGTAAGGTTGTGTGCCATTTGAAGGAGAGTGAATGGCAGCTTATGACATGTTCCCAGCCACTGTACTGTCTCCTGGAGCAGATTGATAGGCAGGTCTGGGGACATCATAGTGGTTTTCTACTTGGGAAATGGTAACAGAAATTTATTCTTTTAAAAAATTTAATTATGGGAATTGGGGATTTAGCTCAGTGGTAGAGCAGACTCTCAGTTCCAGGAAATAGATAGATGGATGGATGATAGATAGATAGATAGATAGATAGATAGATAGATAGATAGATAGATAGATAGATTGATTGATTGATTGATTGTGTTTATTTAGGGTGTATGAACTATAGCACCCAAGTGGAAGTCACAGGACATCTTGCAGGAGACATCTCTCCTATCGTGTGGGATTCAGGTCATCTGATATGGCAGCAAGCTCCTTTACTCACAGAGCCATTTGGCTGACCTGAGATATGTGCTCCCTAGGTCTCACTAGTACAATGAATGGTACATTATGACAGTTGGATTGTTGTCCCTTGGTCATATACTTTAACTGCATAAGACCAAACATTTGTAAACATCTTAGAAATGATACAGTATGATAGTGTTGCACTGTAGGAGTGGGATGACCTTGTAAAAGAAAAATGTTCGGGATTTATATTATTTCCAAACAGTAAAAAAATAATTTAGGACGGAAAATATTCATACATGAATCAGGTTTAACAAATTGGTTCTATAATAATATTTCGAAACCTCAGGTTTAGTCTGGGCAGTGGTGGCACATGCCTTTAATCCCAGCACAGAGGCAGAGGCAAGCGGAGTTCAAGGCCAGCCAGGGCTGTTACACAGAGAAACCCTGTCTCTCAAAACTGAAACAAAACCCCCTCAGGTTTATTTCAGAGTATGGCTCTAAGAGCAGTCTCTTGGATGGGTAACAGAGCTGCAACAACTGACTGACTAAGAAAGACTAGAAAACTGCGTCTGATGATTAAGTTTTCAAACTTTCTTTCTCAGGAGCTGGCTTACAGAAAGGAGATGGTGAGAGCTGATTTCATTAATAAGAAAGTTGGAATCAGGTATGCTTTGAAACTTATTTCTGGTGGGAGAGAAGAGAATTCAAGCATAAAGTATACAGCGAGTTATTTTTCTTGAAAGAATGCTTGATAGTAAGCTAGGATATTTGATACCTAACAATTCAGAAAGAGAGGTTACTATTTCAGGTCGAAACTATCTTGGAACAGAATGTAAGCGTGTTTCACCTACTCCAGTGAAGCTTATGGTTTGTGCATTTTTTTTAGGGAATCTCCTGCAAACCTTGCCAAGCTCCTGACCAGGATGTGTCTGAAGTCAGAAGTCATAGGTGATGGCAATCAGATTGAGGTTGAAATTCCTCCCACCAGAGCGGACGTTATCCATGCATGTGATATTGTGGAGGACGCAGCTATTGCTTATGGATATAACAACATTCAGATGACTCTGCCGAAAGCATACACCATAGCTAATCAAGTAAGATTGCACCTTTAAATAAACACTCCTCTTGTTAGCAACTGACTGTTGAATGCCAGGAAGGCTTGGAGACAAACAGAACCCGGGAATTAAGCAGCATTTGGATGTGCTTTGCTAGGGGAGGCCTTTGCTAGGGGAAGGACACGAAACAGATGCCCAGATGATTAGAGAACCTGTGATGACTAGTTCTTTGAAGAAGGACAGCTTTCAAGTGTGGCGCTCTTGTTGAATCTCTTTAACGGGAAGATTCATTTTCTCAGTTGGGCCCGAAGGCAGATGCTGTCCTGTGAGCGAGGCGGGGTGGGAGGCTGTTGGCTAGCTGTGATGGGGGTGTTAGCTGGGGAGGGGAGGGGTTGGTTCCTTTGAGGGGTGTGTTCTGCAGGAATCTGCTAAAGAAAACAGCAGGTTGGAGATGTGTGGTGTGTTGCTTTCCTCTCAGGTTCCTATCAACAAGCTCACAGAACTCCTCAGACTCGATATGGCGGCTGCCGGCTTCACTGAGGCACTTACCTTTGCTCTGGTACGTTTTCAACTCACTTCTGGCTGGCTGACTGTTTTCCTGGAATCCCTGAATTGTCTATTCTGTGATTCCTTATGTGAATCTATAAAGTCTAGCCTGCTGAAACTTCCAGATTCTGAAAGAGAAACTTTGTTCCTTGAGATCGTACAATTTTTAGTAAAGAAAAATGGGGAGTTTTTCTTTGACTAGTCATAGAAGACTGTGAAAGCCTAGGGAAAAAAAAAATCCGAAGGACAGATGACCATGTGCTTTATATTTGATGTAAGTGTGGAAGGTGCACAATGAATTTCATAAAAAGATTTGTTAGGTTAGAATATTCGGTCTTAATTTGGTTGTGGCTGTACCCACTAGATGCCGCCCTGGTTAAGGTCTTGGGAACTGTTCCACATTAGACTTATTTCTTTGTCTTTGAACATGTTCACAAACATTTGCTTTGAGTTGAAAAACTGACATAAAAGGCCTAAATCAGGAAATGAATGTTATTACAGAATCAGAAGGAACTTGGCCTCTCTCTCTCTCCTCAGGCTGACCACTGAAAGCAGTAAATGTGCCTGTAGTTTGTATGGTTTCCCCTGGCTGAGAATGTCCGCGGTGCCCAGACTCCTCTTGGCTAGCCCAATGAGCTCGATTTAACAACCTGTGGATGAGGCAGCTGCCTCGCTTCCTGATGCCCAGCCCTAGCCCTGAGGTTCTAACCCTTCCGAACATTAGGTGATGGGTCCGAGGCAGCATCTGTTAGCAGGCACTGCACCTGTGGGAAGCGGAGCTGGAAAGGGGAGAGCTGACACAGTGCACACAACAGTCCTCAGAGTCAGGGCTGGGGGCCCAGTGCCTGACCCCTCAGCTCGTGTGCACTAGCCTTAGAGTGCCATGCCTCTCTCTCGTGGGTAGACATTCATTCCCATTTGTGAGCAGTCACCATTTTACACACAGTGACGTATAAAACTTAGCATTGAGAAATGTGTGTGCTTTTTTAAAATACACAGTGACAGAGGAAACAATACATTATCATTTTGAAGGATTTCAACTTTATAAAATACAAAGTTGCTGTTTCCACTTGTGATTCTGTTCTTTTTCCCCAAACTAACTGCAGTTAAGACTTTGGCTTGTAGTTCTCACTGCCTTCTATTAGTGCCTTTTGATTTTGTGATTGAGTCCATGTATCTTATAGGAGCACAGAAGCTGCCTCTTGCCTAGGGCCTGCTCTGCAGGGAGGCTTCACCCCCCACTGATGACTGTATGTACATGGTACCAGTTCTTCTCAGGAAGTGTTCCTATCCTCCATAGCAGCTAGAATAACTTCTCTGTCAGTCCCTCCATCCCCCATGCAACCACAGGTACGCGCCCAAGATTCCAGCCCAGGCCTGGTATGAGCCAAAGCTTGTGACTGAATTATAGCCCTCGAGTGTCATACTGAGCAGTCTGCTCAGCTGTCCAGTCACACATTTATGTTCATTGTCTGGGAGGAAAGGAGTGAGGGGCTGGAGAGGACAGATCTCACATAAAGTTTCCTGTTAGAAGTCTTTATAGGGGCTGGAGGTTTAGAGCACTGGCTACTCTTGCAGGGGACCCAGGTTCAATTTCAAGCACCCCATGGTAGCTCACAACTATCTGTAACTCCAGTCCTAGGGCATCTAATACCTTCTTCTGGCTTCTGTGGGCACCATGCACTCATGTAGTGTACAGACACACATGCAAGACAAAACACCTATGTGCATAAAATGAACAAATAAATAATCAAATTTAAAAATCTATAAAGTTCTGCATTTTCTAAACAGCTCAACGTTGCTAGTCTGTATTGTTAAATCCAGTTTGCCCAAGAGTGATGACAGTCTTCCAAAGCTGGTCCTTGACTTCTTAACAAGCAGTTCACTTTTTAGCATTAGGATTTTTTTTTTACTAATACTGCATACTAGGTGTAATATTTTCTTTTATAAATTGACTCAGTTTTAGAATTAAATGTCTACTTTAACCTTAAGAGTAACACTTATGATTGTGGGTTTTGTTTGTTTGTTTTTCGAGACAGGGTTTCTCTGTGTAGCCCTGGCTGTCTTGGAACTCACTCTGTAGACCAGGCTGGCCACCAACTCAGAGATCTGCCTACCTTCTGCTTCTTGAGTGCTGGGATTAAAGGCGTGTGCCACCACCGCCCGGCTATGATTATGGCTTTTATACTTGTTCTATTCCCTAACCTTATAGTAGACACATAAATGCTAATATTGAAGACCATCTTCCTTCCTAGGCCTTAGCTACTATCACTTGAGGGAAGCTTATTGAAAATGCTTCAGATTGTCTTGATTGTTTCCCATTACATTATGAAGCACAAGGTCACTCAGATGCATTGGGATGTTGACCTGTGTCTGGGGAGCCTTTTTTCCTTTCACACAGCCAGAGCTAGTTCTGTTTGAGAGCCGGTAGGTAATGTAAATGCATTTGTAAAATGACTGATCACAATGTATTTAAATCTTGTTACAAAAACTCCCCTCTGCACTGGACAAAGTGGTGTTTTTTCAGTATGGTTCAGGCTTTCTCTCTGGAGCACAGTAGTGTGGACTCTGTTCTGTTACAGTTTGAAGACTTTTTCAACAAAGTATGGCAGAGCTGGGTCTGGCGGTACACACTAGCACAGATGTAATGTCAGCGCTGAGGAGGCTGAGGTAGGATGGTAATCAGTGCCAGCCCGGGCCTTGAGTGAGCTCAGGCAGGAGTTGCTAGGGCAGGCATTAGGATGCAGTGAAGACAGAATTCTTCTCAGGTGAGCTGGCTGTTTACCTTCTCTCAGCTCCAGGCTTCCTACTGGTCCAGTGCCTGGCAAACAACAGCTCTTTAGTGCTTTGAAGGCCTCTACTTGAAGATGCCTTTTAGAACAGTTCCATGACCAATATTGCCTAAAGTTTGGATAAGCCTCGAGGAACTTGGCGGCACTAGCTTTTCATGTTAAGTGTTTAATTATTTTTAAAAATGGGGTAATTGTTTATTTTTTGTGGTGATTTGTTGTCATCACTTGATCATTTTATATATATTTCTAGTACTTTCTGTCAGGCCTTGGAGATACATTATTTCTAAATCTTGATCCTCACTAGATTTGTTGGATCTAAGAGTGAGTTTTGTTCTAACGTCTGCCTACTGCTCTGGTTTCTGCCCGTGGATAAGAATGAAGCAGTTTACTTGTCTTAGGAGCTACATGGGCCATGTGTAGGGAAAGTTAAATGGTGAGCATCTCAAAGAACAGTGAGCAGAGTTCAGTCATGTGAATTCTCCCAGTTCCACAGCCTGCCCCAAATCAGTGCAGACTTTTCTGGGATTGCATTGGGAGTCAGGAAGCCTGAGGAAACCAAGGAAGGGAACTGTCTTAGTTAGGGTCCTATTGCTGTGAAGAGACACCATGACCACAGCAACTCTTAGAAATGAAAACATTGAATTGAGGGGGCTTGTTTATAGTTTTAGAGGTTTAGTCCATTATCGTCATGGTGAGGAACATGGCGGCATGCAAGCAGACATCATGCTGGAGCTGAGAGTGCTACATCTTGACTTAGAGGTAACAGGAAGTCAACTGGCTGTCACACTGAGGGAAGCTTGAGCAAAAGAGACCTCAAAGCCCGCCCCCACAGTGACACACTTCCTCCCACAAAGCCACACCTCCTAATAGTGCCACTCCTTTGGGAGCCATTTTCTTTCAAACCACCACAGGGACTCTTAATGGTACTGCTAGAGATATTTTTACATAAGAGGTGCAAGAGAAGTCACTTATGTAGCTAGAGCCTTGGGTTGGCCTGAATGTGGTACTGGGACATTTTTGCCTACATAAAGGCAGGCAAAAATGTAGTGTTCAGAAAACAGATAGGAATCAGGAACTTAGACTGGAAAGGTCAATGCGGGCCTAGTACAAAAAGGACTGGGTGTGGGTTAAACCCTCATCTCTACAGGAAATGTTAACCAGCTCCATGTTGTGGCTATAGCTCATCATAGAGAGCTTTTCGTGGTTAATTGTATCTTCTGTGGGCCTAAGCTTGGTGAATTACAAATGATAAATTATTGTCAGACCTAATAGATAAGACTCTTAGCTTATTATTAACTTACTGATTTATATAAAGAAGGTGCATTGCTAAGAAACCACTGTAAATTGAATGATAGCATTAAATACTTTTAAATTTTGAGTTAGCCATTGCCCATACTAATCTATTTTACATGTTCTTAAGTGCTCCCAAGAAGATATTGCTGATAAACTCGGCTTGGATATCTCTGAAACAAAGGCAGTTCACATAAGCAATCCCAAAACTGCTGAGTTCCAGGTAAGAATTTTAAGTAGATAAGAATTGGGGTAAAAGTCAAGTTTGTGGTAAAGGACATAGGAAAGCTCTCTTCTTCAGTTATTGTACATTGGGGTGAATCCTTAGAACATTTTAATGAACTTTCTTTAGATAATTTGCAGTTGGTCAGCCCTACCCTGCTGACACCCCCCACCCCCCACCCCCCCCCCCCCTGTGTGTGTGTGTGTGTGTGTGTGTGTGTGTGTGTGTGTGTGTATTAGTATTGAGTCTAGAGCCTTGTGCTTGGTAGAAGTTGGCTTGTTTAAAAAATATATAATATTTATTATTAATTATTATTATTATTATTGTTTTTGAGATGGTGTCTTACACTGTACCCCAGGCTGCCCTGGAACTCACTGCATAGCCCAGGTTGGACTCCCAACTGCTCACATTCAGCCTATTCTTAGTTCTTAAATGCTTTGAACTAGTTGGCTCAGCCACTCTTACCTGCATTTTCCACGTCATAATTGATGTTTACTTACTATTCTCAGCTTCCTCTCTTTCCCATTTATTTGTAGTAAATGGAGTAAAATGTATTCCTTCAATCCCCATAAGCCATTACGCTAGTTTTTGACTGCAGGTGGATTTTTTTTTTCTTTTTTTCTTTTCTTTTTTTTTTTTTTTGGTGCTCTCAGCTCACAAATAACAATATAGAGACTTACTATTAATTATTAAAGCTTGGCCTTAGCTTAGGCTTGTTCCTAACTAGTTCTTATAACTTAAATTAGCCCGTATCTTTTGATCTACATTCTTTTATGTGGCTCAGTTACCTTTGCTCTGTATTGCCCATCCTGCTTCCTCTGCATCTGGCTGTTAACTCTGCTTTTCTTCTTCCCAGTGTTCCTGTCTGCCTGGAAGTCTCACCTAGCTCTCCTGCCTAGCTGTGGGCCGTTCAGCTTTTTATTACACCAATAAAGCATTGCATTTTCACAGTGTACAAATATCTCGCGACATGGGACTATGCTTTGTGTCTTTCACTGTCACCTAAGCTTACCAGCAGTTCTGGCAAATGAGCTATACAGATATTTACTCAGCACATTTTCATTGAATCTGGGTGCATTTTTATTTGTTTAAGCTAAATGTATTTCCCTCCCTCAGTTTCATTATTGAGTGTGACACAAATTTTGTATTTCTCAAGATTTCTGTAACTGTTACATTCTTCAGAGTTTGTGTCCTGTCTGCTCTGCTTTATATAAATGGAGGAACAGCAGATCAGAGATGCATTAGCTGCTGCCATAAATAGCTGCAACTTAGCACACTCAGGAGTCAGTTTTTCTGGATAGGTACTCTGGAGATGACAGAGTATCCTTAAAACTGGCAGCTTTTGCGTCAGCCTGCTTCACCTCCCACTCTGCCATTACCAGTGCACTGAGCAGGTTGTTCTTGCTCATGGTGAAATTAAGTGTAAAGTGGCTTGCAGTTTGGGTATAGGCCTGTTCTTTTCCTGTGTGATTCTTAACTGTGGGTTCTTCTCCGACAGTGGATGTGCTATAGAATGGGCAGGAGAAGAGAAACATTATTTAGGGAAACTGGATTTTATCCCGATTATTATAAACAAGATTATCAAGTGTCACTGCTAACCCGGGACAAGGGAGGATACTTGATAATCTTGTTTATAATAATCGGGATAAAATCCAGTTTCCCTAAATAATGTTTCTCTTCTCCTGCCCATTCTATAGCACATCCACTGTCGGAGAAGAACCCACAGTTAAGAATCACACAGGAAAAGAACAGGCCCTGCTTGAGTTCTTGCCCTGACTTACCTCAGCAATGGGCTGTTAACTGGAAGTGTGAAAAGAAAGAAACCCTTTCCTCTGCTTTTGTTCATGGTGTTTATCATAGCAATAGAAACTCTAAGTCACTCATGTAGCTCAGGCAGGCCGAGCTGTAAGAGCTGAAGATGACCTTGAAACCTCCTAATCTTCATGCCTCTACCTCCAGGTGCTGAGATTACAGACACACACCAGCACATCTGGTTAGAGAAAAATTATCTTTTAAGTGTAGTACTTGAGCTGGCAAGATGGCACAGTGGAAGCGTACCAGCAAGGCTGACAACCTGAGTTTGATCCCTGGTACCCACATGGTCAATAGGCCAGACAGTTAATACTCCTTTAAAAGGTTACAATTTCTAATTTACGGAGTAAAATACCCTAGACCCAAGAAACAGTATAATGAGTTTGCTAAGATCTATAATAATGTAAGATATCTTGAAACAAGAGATTGTGTTAACTAACCTTTACTACGCTGCCATTAATCTTCCTAAGTCATCTCTTACTATGCCCAGCAGAGATGCTAAGTGTCATTATTGGTACCAAGGTATGGGCTTGGTCTCTGATATCAGATACAAGATACTAGAGCATCTGGAACACATCCTATGTAGAAAGGAGGGTACTCCAGTGTGAGAGGTAAAAAGCAGGTCCAACAGCTAAAAGTCAGGAAACCACTTTGCTTCCTAGTTGAGAGAGGGTCTTCCCGGCCCAGCATTCACCGTATATCCCAGACTGCTCATGAACTCATCACAGTCTTCTTCCTTGGCTCAGCTTTCCAGTGCAGGGATTCTGTGTTCTTGACTATGGTAGGCTGGAGACACAAGGTCTTGCTAAGCAGCTGAACTGACTTTAAACTGTGTTGCCCAGGCTAGCCTTGAACTCACAGTTCCCACTATCTAGTCTCCAAAGCCCTGGGATTACAGGCTTATAACCATGCCAGGATCAGAGAACTACATTTATTTTTTTATTTTACATTTACTATAAACGGATGGGAAAGAGAGGAAAGCTGAGAATAGTAAGTAAAGGTCAATTATGAAGTAAAAGACTCAGTAAGAATGATTGAGCGAGCTAGTTCAAATCATGTAAGAGCCATGTATAGACTGAATGTGAGCGTCCAGCCTGGGCTACTTCAGTTACTTTGTGGAAGGAGATAGGATATAAAATTTTTCATATGTACAACCTTGAGAGCTCAGGTTAATTTTTAAAATTATAATGAAAAACCAGTTTTTAGGTATGAATAGTCATTGAGTTGTGTTTGCTTCTCACTTTGATTTTAATCAGATTTATTGGTGTTTATTTTGTTAATTTGGAATGGAGAATATTTTCAGTTCTTTCAGTGAGTTGGATTTGAAAATTTGAAGTGACTCAGACATCTAGGCTTTGCTCTGTCCAAAAGAGTTTTCCTGTGAAGCCAGGGAGTTGGCCTGCTTTGTCTCCTTCAACAGTGAGTTTGTTGGTTGTTCTCAAGTCAGTGCAAATTCCCATCTTTCCTGTAGGTGGCGCGTACTACCCTTCTTCCTGGCCTTCTAAAGACCATTGCAGCAAACCGGAAGATGCCACTTCCTCTCAAACTGTTTGAAATCTCTGACATTGTAGTAAAAGATTCTAGCAAAGGTAAGAGTGAGCTACCTGTGATTTGCATACTTAAGCATTTTTATTGTGTGAATTTCAGCTCTGTGGAGAAGTTAGCATGCTTACACATGTACATGCAACCATGTGTCTTTCTTCCACGTTGCTATCACCCTCCTCCTAGTATTTAGTGTCAATTGAGTTAGTACATCATTTTATCAGCACAGTCTTGAGATGGCAGTTCTAAACCTAAGCTCTACCACAGCTGTATGTTTATTGTTAAATAAAAAAGTCACACTCTTATTAAATACCCCATTTAAGTGTCCCAGGCCCCCCTCCCGCCATTTGATCAGTTGATTTTAGTGATTGACTTATTTGAATCTGAATGCTTGCGGTGCCTAGGCTTTGGTGCCTAGGCTTTGGTGCCTAGGCTTTGGTGGTTATGTCTCTCGTTTCCTGGAATGGAAAGCACATGTTCTTAAAGAATTTATTAATTTGTGGGAGGCAGTGGCGCACACGCCTTTAATCCCAGCACTCAGGAGGCAGGGCCAGGCGGATCTCTGTGAGCTCGAGGCCAGCCTGGTCTACAGAGTGAGATCCAGGACAGGCACCAAAACTACACAGAGAAACCCTGTCTCGAAAACCAACAAAAACCAACAAAAAAATGAATTTAATAATTATGAGGAGCCCTAATGAAACTTTACCTTAAAAAACACCATAGAGAGAACAGGAAATGTAGTTCAGTGGCAACACGTGATGTGAATATGCATGGGTCCCTGAACTCACCTGAGTACACCCCTCTCCCCGGCCCTCTGGGAGGGGGAAGGAAGGAAGGACAGAGGGTCACCAGAGCACTCCGAAGACTTTCTTTCCTTCACTCTGGCACACAGCATGGCATTGTCGTCGGGCTTTGATGGCCCCCACACTGTTGTTGTAACAGTGATTGTGAATGCGTTTTATAGTTTTTCCCTTTGAAATATCTAAGTTCAGAGTTCTTAACTTAGTCTGCGAGTATTTTGGTTCAACACTTAGAATGCATGGTTATTTAATAAATATAAATTTAAGAGTTTTGGAAGCCTGATTTTCCTGAAGTCTGTCTTTCTAATGCAAACTCAAGTTCAGTTGGTTGTCTAGACCTATAAGTGCTGTGGTCCCTGGGTGAGCAGTGCCTCAAGTGACTGCTTTGCTGCTAGCCTTCATTGGTTCTTTGATTTCATACATCAGTCCTTATGATTATGAGTGGTTCTTAAGTCCAGGCTGTAGTCTGTAGAATTTTCTTGTGGTGGCAAATCTATACAAAAAAATAGGAAGTTATTATTATTATTATTATTATTATTATTATTATTATTATTTTAGTGTTAGGTGCAGAGTTTTGAGAATTGAGCTTCCCATGAGTATAGGCAGTGAAAGTGCAGGGTTGCATTTATCTGTTCATTCTGACTGTTTTCTTCCACATTTATTCTTTGAGCCTCATAGTGCCTTGATCTTCTCTGGGGTCCTTGTAATTATAAATACAGGATTAGGTAGCCACACTCTTTCAGCAGTGGGCCCTTTGCAGTGACTGACGGGGCTCACTAATGGCTCTTCAGGGCTGGGTGTGCTCACAGTCCGAGGGGGAGAGTGAGGGGCAGTGAGGATCCCGCACTGGCTGCACAGTTTGCCTGTAGCCATGGAGGAGTACATTGTTGTGTTTTAGGACTGGGTGCGTGTGCCTGACATGGCTTTTGTTGTTATGTGTTTTAGCTCAGATATTTGCATTCTGTTGAGCTTTTTCTCATCAGGAAGAACGTCTCTCTAGCCAACCTCTGTTGTGCCTGTCTTAGTTAAAACTGTTCTACTGTTTTCTTCATGGTTCATTTCCATTCAGTGCAACTTGACCCTTTGTCTTGCATTGGCTTATTCTTTTTCTTTAATATTTTCCATCGTATCAATAGCATTTGAGAAATCAAGGGAAGTAAATTGCTCGATCGTGAAAACGCATTTCCTTTCATTGAGATGAAGTATGTTTTCTGTTTAAGTGGACCTGGATCTTATTTCATAACAAAACCTTTTCTGATGCAGTATTCTAAATATGTGCATGTGGATTCTCTCCTAGTCATTGGCCTGCAGGAAAGGGTCTACAGCATCTGGAGCGGGGGCAGCAGGGACTCTGGGTTCTGCAGACTGCAGCTGCAAGGCGTGAGTTTAGTCAGGCTTCCTGTGGTGTACAGTTTATTTGAACTCTGTGGCTGTCTTCTCATCTGTACAATGGGGTAATAACAGCCCTTACTTTATTAGTTGCTGTAAGGATCCAGCGAAACTGCATTTGGAAAGTTTCAGCCAGATAGTAAGTGGTGGCTGCTCTTCTTGTTAGGGTGGTGGCCGTCCCAGGGCCAGATGCTGCTGGCCTGGGTCATGCCCATTTTTTGCCATATGCTTGAAAGTCCAGGATGGCCAGCAGTGTTACTGTGCTTTGTTCAGACAATGGAGTTTGATTTTTATCCTAACCTCTAAGGGACTTTGTGTCATAGGATTTTCTTCTTTTGTGGGTTTTTTTTTTTTTTTGTTTTTTTTTTTACCTTTCATACTAATATAAGAGTTTACTTTTAAAAATAAATCACAGAAATATTGTTCTTGGAGTGATTTATGATGTTTCTCTCTCTTTATTTTTTGGGTGACAAGCTAGAAGTCATCTCTCTCTTAGATGTATGCTAAGCCATGTGTTCCTAAATGAAACTTTTTTAGTAAAAAAAATTGAAACCACCAATAGTTAAATGATCAAGGGATTTTCCAGTTAATATGAAAGTTCCCAAATTCTCCTTAGTGAGCAATCCCCAAATTATTAGTGAAGATGTGTAGCAAGCATGAGCCAGGTTGTCTCATTCACCATGGTGATAGAAAAGTAGAAACTATTTTCGACTTTAAGAGCGCTTGCCGAGCAAGCTTGAAGATCTGAGTTTGGATCCTCAGAACCCCTGTGCCTGTAGTCTCAGGGCGAAGGAGGCAGAGACTGGCAGGACCCTGGAGCTCACAGGGCACCCAGCTTAGCCAAGCTCAGTTTGGAGGGAATGAGCAGACTGTCCTGGGAATGTAGAGAATGGAGCTCCATCTGCCAGGAACCCTAGCACTCCTAAACCTCACGTCAGTGTCTGCTTAGCAAACGGCTTCTGAAATGAAAATGGAAGTAGAGTCTTGTGTGGATTTCCATGTTTTCCTGTCTGTCTCAAGTTCCTCTGAGAACAGGCAAAAGACAACTGCCATTTTCCTGCTTGACCTAGTCGAACATTCCCTCTCCTGTGGAGTCCTCTCACTAGCCATCGTGATGAACGAGGCTGTCAGGCTGCCAGTTTTGCAACTGACTCAGGCACACTTTTCAAGCCTTAAGACTTCCCCTGTAAATCAGGCCCATTTGGCTTGTCTGAGGCCGAGCCAGCCACTGCATTTGCTGAGCCTCAAGAGCCGAAGTTGCTGTAACACTTTTAAAAATTAGTCATGACTCAGGGGACTAAGCTGATTTATCCCTTTTGTTGGGCAGAGTGGCATGTGTTTTTGGAACAAGAAACTTGAGTGCAGACTCTTGCCCTGGGGTAAGTTTTTCAGTTTTGGAGCAGGGAGGGTAGCAATGGAGACCATGCGAGGCTGCTGTGTGAGTTACCGGTTGGTTTCAGACGTTAATAGCGCATTCATTTCAATGCCAGGAAGAACCATATTGTAAACAAAGTATTTTTAAAAGCCAGAAAAACTGCAGAGATAAGCAAAGGACCGTCTGCCTGGAAAAGCTAGCTCATTTTGCACAATCCAGTCTTCCACTTTTTAAACAAAGTTGAATTCTGCAGCCACAGATCGTCCCTCAGTGCTCAGGGAAGCTGCCAGAATCTCACTGAAATGACCAAAGAAAGCAGGTCTCTAGGTTAAAGAGGGTTAAGTCTAAAATGAAACAAGAGCCTAAGAACATGAGCTGGGCTTTGTAAAGGGTCTCAGTGATTTCTACCAGCAAGATCCGACCAGCAGGATCTATTAATCCACGGTTCAGTGTGGCATGCCTCTGTGGCCAAATCTCAGAATCAGTTGCCTACACTTGGTTTCAGCAGCAGCATTTCAGAAAGTTTGGATCTGAGTAGTTGCTGTGCTCAGTGGAGTGGGTTAGAGCACTTACCCAGGGCTCTAGATACCCTTCTTTTCTTCTCGAAGCATGATCATTCTAAGTTTTGACTTACTTAGACCTTCTTCCTCCATCCTCAAGAGCGCTTAGCAATCCTGCTTTGAACTCCATTCCCCTGCCTCCAGGTTCCAGTTAAATAGTTCCCAAACTTTGACATTGTGCCATAAGCTTCTCTAAGTGAGAGGATGGTCTGTTTTTCCTTACCTTCCTCAATGCATGTGGACATAGAGCATTTTGGGTTGAAGCCTTTAATTGCAAGATCTGTTTCAGGGTTCTCGTTTCTTCCTCCTCCCTTGAGCACCATGGCTGCCACAGAACCGAACTGTTGGTCTTTCTACGTGTTTGTTTCCTCAGCTTACTGTACATACACATGCAAACATGGGTGTGAGTGTCTTCTGTCTTGCATTACAGAATATTAAATATAGGGTGCAGACATAAGGCCTTTGGTTAACGGAGTGAAGGAACAGGTCAGGTCTTTAGAACTTTTGATATAACTATGTGTTTGTAAAGGCTCAGTAAGAACATTTTGTTATAGGCTTGTGAGTTCCTGTCTTCTGAGACATTGTCCATCAATTCTGGAGCTTCAGATAATGGAAGATTATCCAGCATCCACATGTGGAATGCGGCTTTCTGAAGAGGGCTTATGTCATCAGTCTGGATTAATTTAATTTCACCAGTTCATATTTTTGGCATGTAGAATTTCCAATTAATAATTCAAAAAACATGGGTGTAAGGAGACTGACGTTAACAATTTTTGAAGTAGCATCCTTCGCATATGTGATGGCATCTTAGCTGTGTAAATAAATCATTTTTAATATAGAAAGTTATTTTAGTGTGCTTGGTTCCACATAGTTAAGATCTGCTAACGTGAGTATAATGTACCCTGTCATGCATCCAGTACTAT